ACTAATTGGAATCAAAAATCTAATTTATAAGAGTGCCCTGGTGAAAATGAACAACATAAACAGACTTTAAAAATAAAAATTACCATTATAATAAAAACAAACAAAAACACATAAAAAACTATAAAATATTAAAAGCACTGTAGACTAAATATCTACTGGCATCACACTTGGTAAAAGAAAACATAAACCTAATAATAATAACAGGTATAAAGGCCACAAAATGTGCCAGAAGCTAACTGTAGCAATAGCTGTATCAAAAGGTTAGCTAAAAGTAGTAAAACAATGGTTAAAATTAGAAATAAAAAAAACTGCAAGCGAGAAAGTAAAAGTAGCAAAAGCCTAGACAAAAGATATTTCTAGCTTAAAGCAAATAATTTGTGGAAAAAGTCAAAGTGGAAAAAGATTAACAAAAGACTCACTAAAGGTAAATGCAGCCAAATGATGGCTATAAGCTGAAGCTGCGAAAGGTTAGCTAAGGAAGATGCATCAGGACATTAGCTAAGGAAGGGTAATAATAGCAAACTAGTTTCTAAAAATAACAGAATTCTAAAAGCAGCAAAGTGCTGGACAAAAGTAACAGGATGATAGCTAAATGTAGGCCTATAGCTTCAGAAAACAAACATGTCAAAGCAAAAATAAGAAAGTTTTTGACCCAGTAAAGATGTCCTAATATAGTTCTGCAGGAAAAAGTTGTGAGTAAGGCTTGTGAAGATTTTTGGAAAGTATAATAATATGTGGAAAAAAAATCTAAGTCAAAACATCTATAAATGTCCCGAGTTTTTATTTAACAAAGTGAAGAATTGCAATTGTATAGAAAAATGTGTACACATTTTTACATAGAGACTGCTGTCAAACTTGTAGAATAATGTGTTTTGAATAAAGTCCAGAATGTAAACTGCAGAGGTTAGAAAAATATTTAGTTGTTTTTTTTGTTTGAAAACTAGGTAATAAATCTTTAATTACCAGATCAAACTGTGAATGTTTACTTTAATCAAATTTACCTCTTCTTAAAGTAGTTTCAACCTTTTGATACATGTTAGATTTGAACACTTAACCTAGATTTTCATTCTGGCAGCTTGATAGAGATTTCATGAATGACGATCTGTGAGTCACTGTTAACGTCTCATAAGTTTCATATCATTGTCCCATTTATTTCGTATATCAGTAAAGGGCAACCCTGCATTCACTAAAGAACTGCCCCCCTGATATCTGGCACCCCCTACTGTTTTCCCCTTTGAACCAAAGTTGAAGAGAGAGTGTTGAAAAACCTGTTTCATGTGTCCGTTTTATGTGCTTCATGCAGCAATTCCTGTATGTGATCATATGAGGTCATCACTTAAAAACTTACAAAATAAAAATTATAGGCAAATGTTTATGGTCAAAAATACATAATTAAAATTTTTACAAAATATGTCAAAATTTGCCTGTTTTAAAGGTGCAGCTATAGATTTGAAGCTGTTCAAATGTCATTGTTTGTGTTGACTGAGTTACTATTGATCCTTGAAGTTAGACTGTCCCCCGCTGAAAGTATATATATAT